GATTTATGAATCCCCTAGCTAAACAAACATATCTATTGAATGTAATAAGGGAACTGAAGTTTAATATTTTTTTATTCAGTTGATGAAAAACCTCTGCTTCATCCTGTAAGCTACTCTTGAGCCGAATTATAAATATTCTGTGTATATATTATTTTCTAAGAAAATTTTGCACATACATTACAAGGTTCCAACAATTTGTACATGAGGGATTATATAAGAAATTATAATGAGATTATACCTGACATAGATCCAAGATCTACTTACTTTAACCTCTCCTCGAGTTCCACAAGCCACGTTTGGGTTAGCTGTAACAGCGTTCCAGGTCAAGCGTATCAACGAAAGTCGATTATAATTTCAGAGGGGGATACGTGTAATAATTATGAAAAATACCTCCAGACTGAAGAAGAACTCTCAAGCATTGAGAATTCTCAGTAGTGGCAGCTGCATGTAAAGGTGTTCTGCCCCAAGCATCTTGACTATTAATATACGAAAGTTGGTCACCTCTGAGCAAATCTTCTAACAGCTCTACGTTATCCCACAGTGCAGCCTAAAATTTATTATGTTTTGGTCGTTAAAAATTTTATTTTCTCTTCTCATCTTCAAGGATTGCGTTAGAATGGATTCGAATTGCTTACTTGATGTAATAGACGACCAGGAAAATCTTCTTCCTCTGGTTTTTCTGCAGATTGAAAATCCATGTTACTGGATTTCCGTCAATTTGATGAACATATTGGTGATATATGGACTGACCATCTAACACAGCTTGACGAGAGCAATTTGGAATAGACGAATGTGAAGATTTGATCTGTGCTAAGGGAAAACCGAATGATATTAGAAACTTGAAAAAGTAATTTATAGTTGCAAATGTATGAGTGATCATTTAGTTCCTCAATAATTACGGAGAACAGGTATTTAAAATTATATAAATATACGATGAAGTTGTGTAGCATTCTTAATCCTAGATAGAAAATAATTCTTCACTCATTCCCATAATGGCATCTTTAAAAGTAAGAAGTACATACTCATCCTATGGATCTCTGAAGAGATTCATTTTCTCTAAGTCTAATCGAATCCCATTTAAAATAGTTCATAAGAGATGAACTAGTCAAGCATCTCTTCACAACTGAAGTACAAGTATTAACAATTTGTCAGAAGATGAACAGAAATATTTTGTGGCTTACTTTCCAATGAATCACCAGATAATCAGAAACAGCTGTCAGTTGCTCGTTGAGTTGGTCATGGTCGAGAAGCTTTGCACAGACTAAAGTACGATGATCCTGTCGATTCGTTAAATAAGATCACGAGCTCAGAAATACAGAAATGCCCAAATTTAACTCCGCGTCTGCCAGTTACTTTGGAAAATGATTATTATTTTAAATTTAATGGTCTTATTGAAAATTGAAAGATTGACGAATTCGAGTTGAAAAATGATAATAGGTCGGTCGGTTGGAATGGCCGGGGTGAAGGGAAAGAATGTTTACCTTTTTGTTGCTGATACGATTACGTATTTACTATGGAATGTGACGGATTTTGAGTGAATGTTGATGAATAAAAAAAGTTGTTTGGTTCTTCCGCCTTCCAGTTCCAGCTTGAAGCTTCTAGCAGTTCTAGCACCCACTTACAATTGGCTTTCAACTTCTAGCTTCCTATTTTTTAATTTTTTTCTTCATGGCACAATTTCCAGTTTCCGGCTTTTCTGAAAATGAGAGAATGCAATGAAAAAAACCAAGGCCTGGAACCTGGAGCTGTGAGCCGGAGCTCAAATGAGCCGGTTTTTTGAGAGCCGAGAGCGAGAAGTCAGAGCCGGAGCTCTTTTCTTGCCTGGAGGCAGGAGTGCTCCTTTCAAACCTTTTTCAAGCATCGCGGAGTGAGTGGAGCAAAGTCAGAGCTTGGAGCGCTCTGGAGCCATTTGGCACAAAATTCAACTGGAATTGATAAAATTTGGGGCTCCGGAGCTAAAATTTGGCTGTAAATGGTGTAATTCTTGGCTCCAGAGTGCTCTGGAGCTGAAATATGAGCAAAAAACACTTGGCTCCGGAGCGCTCCAACACTAGAGCCCTCCACTTCTGGAGCGCTCCGGCTCCAAAAGCGGAGGCAGGAGCCTCGCCTTTGCGAGTGCTCCAAAAATTTTTGGCGAGCGCCTCACGGCTCCGGCTCCAAACTCTATTGGAGCCGAGAGCCGGAGCGGAGCCCTGTTGATGTTTTGAGCGAGCCTATACCAGGAGTTTGGAGCTAATTTTTGGACGCTCCCAGTCCTTGAAAAAACCTTCAAATTTAAAATAGAAGACACGACACAAATTGGAAGCCGTAAATGAATCATTCAGCTTCTCCTTCCAGCTTCCCTTTTTTATCCGAAAAATGGCAAAACTTCTGGCTTCTATCTTCCTGCTTCTCCACAAGTGGGCAATGCCTCAAATGAATGATCCCTCCCCCACTCACAACCGACCCCTCCTCAAAATGATTAAT